AAGATATCGTTTAAATATATTATGCAAAAGATATTTAAAAAGTCGAAGAAAAAATCATTTATATAACGTTAGTAAATAGCAAGTCTATTAATTAATCCGAATAAAAGAACTTTACACTTATAAGCATCGTAGCGTATTTGAAATGTTATAAGCTTTTTTAAAGCTAAGTTTATTCGTATTTTATAAAAAGCTTATCGAATATCGAGTTTCGTAAAGATTTTAACTTTTAAAAGACGTGCGAAAGTCTTATCGATTAAAAAGAAAAGGTATCGATCTTTACGAATAAAGTTGTTTAGCGCGCGAAAGTCAATATAAAAACGGAAAAAACCGTTTTGCTTTTTAACGAAAAAGATTAAAGCTGCAAATAGCGCTATTAAAAGTTCGATAAAACCTTTATTAAAGTTATCGATAAAATAAGCTTTAATAAGCTTTAACTTAAAGATCGACATTTTATATAATAATAAATACCGAAGCGCTTTCTTTTCTTTTTCGAAAAGCTCGATTTTATAATCGTAAAGCTTATATAATACTAATACGTTATTAGCAGCTTTAAAAAACACGTATATATAATTTAAGTATTCGAAAAAAATAAAAAGGTCGTTAATAAGCTTTAATAGTTCCGCTATAAAGTCAATAGCAAAAATAAAGCCGTCGGTAAAGCGTATTAGCGCTATTTAATAATCAACTTAAATAAAAGCAATCGTTTAACGCTTAAAAATTAAGCAATTAAGCTCGTAAAAAGACGTAAAGAATAGTTTTACGTCTTTTTAACGAGCAATTATATAAAAAGCGTATCTAAAGACGCCGTTGATTTTAAAGTTTTTATTAATTTTATACTTAAATATTTAACGAAAGCGTTTAACGAATAAAAGAAGTTCTATAAAAGCGATGTTTATTAATATAAGCTTACGCTTTATGTTGTGCGGAACAGGCATGGTTCCACCCAAGCTACATGTGACATGTCATGTGACCTCGCCTAGTAGCGCCCTTGGCACACTGGAGCTCCCAGGTACATGTACATAGATCCTGACGAGCTTCCTAGATAGAATATACCAAGCTTCATTCAATCCACAGAATCTCCTCCTGATCTTAGTGCTGGTAAGCACTACACTTTATCTAAGACATTGATTTAGCGTAATCTTTAAAAAAAGTGTTTTTCGTAAAGCGAAAGAATAACGGCTCTACGAAAGAGTAAATAAAAAAAAAGGTTTAACGATTTTAAAAAAAGAAGCGGAAAGAAAACGATTTTAAAAAGAAAAAAGTGATTTAATAATTATCGTTGCTGCTTAATTTACTCGTAAATTATAATTTATAAGTGAATTAGCGTCGTAAGCTCTTTAAAAGCGATTTAAAGCTCGATCACGCTTGTTAGCGTCGTATTAATAACGAGCGTTTATTTTACGTTAATTAAAGTGTATAATCTTAATAAGTTTAGCGTAAATAGCGGTCGAAAAGTTAAAACGAAGCTAATAAAGCTTACGGCGAACGTAATCAAAGAGAATCTAATACTTAGCTAGCTATGCTCGTCCGAAAATTACGTTATGATTTTTAAAGTTAATAATAAAAAAAAAATAAAAGATTAAACGCGCTTATTAACCGTAAAGTTAAAAAGTATAAAATGTAAGATAATAGCTTTACAAGCTTTATTATATAATTTAATAAAAAATAAAGCCGAAAAAAGTTGAATTAAAAGTTCAAAAAAGAAAGAAAGTAATTTAAATAGCGTTAAATCAATCAGCGCGTACTTATTAGCTTTTAAGTCGAGTAAAGCAAATACTTTATACGAAAAGCCGTTCTTAATAAAAGTGACGAGTATAATCATAGCTTTGCTATTAAAGAGCTTCGTAAGGTCGAGGTATCGTATGTTTCGAAGCTAGCTTAAAAAGAAAGCTTTGCTTAAGCTTCGACGTTTTTTTTATTATCGAAAGCGTCGAAGTTAATAAAAAAGAGCTTTTAATAATTATTAAAAGCGTCGAAATAAAGCTTATCGTCCGAGTCATCCGAACAAAAGCCGTATTCAAGTCTAGCGCCGTATTTTATTTCGTTAATTAAATAATAACGAAAAATCTTTAGCGTATTCGAGTCTTTACGAGACGATTTAAAAGTTTTGATCGCTAACTTAAAAGCGTTTTTAAAAAAAAAGAATTTATTAAATCGATTAGATCGATTTGCATTAGCGCTAAAGCTATTAAAAGTTTAGTATTAAAAAGTAAAGAAAAAAACGAAAGCTAAGCTACTTTAGCGGTTCTCGTAATAAGTAATTGATGTGCAAAAGCAGACCTGCAATGCACATTGCAGTAACTAGTCTTATAACCCTATATACCCGCACGACACACCCCTCAGAGCTGGCCGGTTGATGCTTACCGACTGCTTTGTAAACTACGTTGCGGTTAATAGC